AATGTTTTCCACAAGGTTTCTATTCCTTCTGTTCTAAATTGAAACGTCTATGCATTTGGTCCCTGATACTTTTGCTCCAACACCTTAAGCTTTTGTTTATTGTAATTTTCTTTTTGGTGATGCTGAAAGGGCATATTTTCTTTGCCCTTTAGCATTAAAGGAAGGATTATGAGGGACACATGATATGGATTTTTTTAACGTGTTAACTAACAGTTACTTTGTATTTTAATTTCTCTCTTTTAAAATGATACTACAGACTTCTATGTTGGAAAACATTTTATCCTATTGCTATATGAATTGATTGATAGCTTTTAACATTCCTAAACTGAAAAGATTAAATTTGCTGGAGATTCTCCTGATAAGATGGGTCTGGTTTGTCTCACTGTTTGTCTCCAAACAACCATTTTTCTTACACTTTACACCCCTTCTGACATCAGACGTCATTTTAATGAACATGTGATATTACGAGATGCAAATATGTAACATGTTTGACTACATATAACTGATTTCCTATGCAAAGGGGAGGTAACTTTTATCCTGTCTGATCAACTTTCCTCTTGAATTTTCTTTGTTGTGTTAACTATAAAAAGGAATGTAAGATGGGTCTTGGGACTTTCCCTTTTCATAGAGGGATCCCAGTTTATTAGGGTACCCTAATAAACTGCTTTTAAATGATCTCTGACTCAGTTGCTTATTGGGAAAGTAAACTGAGGCAGAACCTTAGGGCCAGATTTGGCTATTAGTACTTTAACAGAGGGTTCCCTTGAGATGCAGTCATTTGTATATAGAGAGAAAAGCAATGGAGGAAGCAGACAGTCCTGAAGGCCCCTGTGCTAATTCCCAGATACTAGAGGTTATTTTCTCTAGCTTCACCTGTTGCTTCCTCCCTGTCAAAAAGCTAACAATCCACCCACAAATATTTTTAATATAGTTAATACAGTTAAATATAACCCATGCAAACAAAAGGCCTCCACAATATTTAAAAGTTGGAACAGGTTCTGAAAGAAAAGTTTAAGAAACACTGAACTAGAGTGAGCTTTGCCACTTAGTTCCATGCCTGAGCCTGAAACCAAATAGAAAGGAATATATTTAATCCATTATAGTTATCAAACACAGCCAGATTCTGAGAATGCCTCTTAAGGAGAAGTGCATAGCAGCCTTCTTCAAGACTGTTTGCATAACCTCTCCTGAAGTCAGGCAGTAACAACTTCATAGATCTAGTTCATCACGGCCTTATGTGCCCCCCTTGCAGGAACCAAAAGGGTCATAGGTTGAACCCACAAAGTGAAAGTTTCATGTTAGAAAGCACCTTTTTCACATATCAAAAGGAATCCCAGTAAATATGGCAAGATGCTGCTCCGATCGCCATTATGGATTCCACCCATCAGGAATCTGAGCAAGTTTATTGTGAAATCTAGCAAATTGACCAGTTCGATTAATCAGACAGAATCATAATTACTATTTTAAATCTCACTGATTTTATAAGTCTGCTTTAGGTATGATTAAGCCAATATCTTATTCATTTTTGTATAATCCTTAATTTATTATTCTTACCCCAAAATATTAGGTAATAATGAAGAATGGAACACAATTGTTTTAAATAACTAAATTAAAGATCAGGTTAAGCAGGGTGCAATTATATCCCTTATTTCAGAGACTTGATCGAGCCTCATCATGTGGGACATAACATAAGTCTACCTCTGAATGAGTCCAGTACGTGTCTCCTTTATACTGGTGGCTGCATTCTGGACCTTTGGCTATGGCCGCTTGCTTATTATTATTATTATTATTATTATTATTATTATTATTATTATTATTATTATTATTATTATTATTATTATTCCAATTTGTATCCCGCCCTTCTCCCGAAGGACTCAGGGCGGCTCACAACATTATTAAAAACAAAGAGAGACCCACACACCCCACCGAATAAAACCAAATTAAAACCAATATTTTAGTGTTGTGATAAT